TAATGAAAAACTAAGGCTAAAATATATTTATATTATACTTTTGATATGGAATTATATATTTTTTGATGTGAAATTGTATATTTTGAAATAGAATGATATGGTTAAATTGAATTTATTAAATATTACTAAAGATTTCTGTATATATATATATTTTGGGATAATAAATATGTAATGGTTCACTGGTATTTTTCTTTCATGTGTCTTCAACCTTTAAAGATAGGTTGCCAGGCAATGAAACATACACCCACAGCAGCTAAATCGTCTGGGCAGTCAACAAGAGTTGTCGCATATTTTTACTTTTTTCGGTAATGAAACATTTATAATACACTAAAATCTGATTAAGAGCAACAACTCACGAAGTAATTATCAGAAAAGTATTAGAATTTGTTTGGTTTTTATAAAGTTCTGCCCCATGCTAACGTTTTGTATACAAAGCTTTTAAAATCATGGATTTAACTGTTTAAGTCATAAAAATTCATTGAAAATCAATATACTTGTTCGTCTCAAGATCTTAAACTCTGTGTATCAATCTGAAGTCAATCGGATGATAACTTTAGCCTTTAGAGCGTCACAAGATTTTGCAAAGTGATCAAGGGCCATAACTCTGGCAGTAATTATTGGAAATCGTTGAAAATCAATAGGAATCTTCGTCTCATGACCTCAAACACTGTGTATCAATTTAAAGTCAATCGGATATTAACTTTAGCCTCTAGAGCATCCATAAGATTTTTTGAAGTGATCAAGGGCTATCATTCTGGCAGTAATTATTGGAAATCGTTGAAAATCAATAGCCTTTTTCGGCAGTAATTATCAGAAATCGCTGAAAATCAATAGGCTTCTTCGTCTCATGACCGTAAACACTGTGTATAAATTGAAAGTCAATCGGATATTAACTTTGGCCTTTTAGAGCATCCACAAGATTTTTCAAAGTGATCAAGGCCCATAACTCTGGCAGTAATTAATGGAAATAGCTGAAAATCAATAGGCTTCTTCGTTTCATGACCTTAAACACTGTGTATAAATTTAACGTCAATTGGATATTAACTTTGACCTCTAGAGCGTCCACAAGATTTTTTGAAGTGATCAAGGGCCATAACTCTGGCAGTAATTATCGGAAATCGCTGAAAATCAATAGGCCTCTTCGCTTCATGACCTTAAACACTGTGTATAAATTTAAAGTCAATCGGATATTAACTTTAGCCTCTAGAGCGTCCACAAGATTTTTTGAAGTGATCAAAGGCCATAACTCTGACAGTAACTATCGGAAATCGCTGAAAATCAATAGGCATATAAAAATGCAATGTAAACCTGAGATGCCCGATGGGCATATTATGGAATATAATTCCAATCTCATTCGAGCGCGAGAAGGATGAGAAGAATTATATGAATATATATAGCCTGAGGGCTCAAGGGTTTACATTACCCTCCACAACCCTCCCTTGGGTTATATGCAGTTGACGACACATACTTAAAACGACATCATGTGGTAATTAAGGCTGTGCAAAAATATCAATATAATCGATAATCGGTAGAAGTTATTTAGCGATACGATAATCGATATTGAAATTCAAATATCGATTATCGGTATATTTACCTTCTGACGGCAAGTTACGGTCACTTTCACATGACTGAACTTGCCGTAGTCTGGCATTAGCAGACGAATGAATGAATACACAACGTCAACACAACTATTTCCCCCTCTGCTTACAAACTGGCACATTTTAAATATATATTATTGTAAAAAACTAAACTTTAAGATTAAATACATTATTTTAATATTTTCGTTGTTTTTGTTGTTATAACTAGTTGAAACTAAAATAGGTCACGCACTTTGTGAACAATGACAATCGCACGTGATATACAGTAAAATTAGCATTATCTCCCTTCTTTATTCTTGGTTGATTTGTAGAGAAATCGTCTGCTTTCACGATAAAAATAATTGTATTATTAATGATCAACTCCGCTTTTATTACTAAATCATGTCAGATACAGTCCATACAAAACACGTTTTTGACTTCCAGGGAAAATATCTATATCTCTCGTAATTTCGTGGAAGAATTCTACTTTGGTTTTCATCTAAATTAACCAATCATAAAAATTCTACTTTGAAAGCCCGTAATTATTTTTTTATTGTCCAATCAATAGACGCCTTCTATTTTATTTTATTCTATTAGTAGTAACACTGTGTGATCGCCAGTCACTTGCAAAGAGAAACCATGTATTGTCTTTGTATTTATCGGAGATAAAAAAAGGTTCAAATGAATCAAGAACAGAACTTAGAATAATACTCAAGTTAGTCCTACATTTAGCAACTAATTATTTTACATTAATTGATTTTTTTTACGTACATCGGCACAGTATTAGACTAGGATAATAACACTACTGTAACTCGATCAACACAAATAACAGGTCGGTAAAGTTCGGATTTTTCCGGAAAAATGATAATCGATTATTATCGATAATCGCTGACAAATTCTTGCCGATAATCGATATTGAAATTTCATATCGATTCCCAGCCTTAGTGGTAATATGTCACGTTCTTATATACACTGCTACTGTACACACAGGGTATAGTAAGCACATGCAGTATTTCCTACTTTAAAGTTTGAGCGAGTGGTACAGACTATTTGATAGATATGAGAATTATGCAATGTAAACCCTCGAGCCCTCGGGCTATATATATTCATATAATTCTTCTCATCCTTCTCGCACCCTTCGGGCGCTCGGATGAGATTGGAATTATCCAAGTTTCTTCTGCGTGGGTTCTTTTTTGTGTAACAGCAGGATCAATTTTGCCATTACTGAGGTGTCCTGAACCAGGAAGTTTTTCAATTATTTGAACTCTGTATCGCAAAATCCTTACATGGATTTTGTTTGAAATGTTGATCTAGTAGTTTGTGTGCATTTTCAGAATTTCCTGCTGATCTGTGATTATTAAACCTTGTTTTACAAGATTTACTAGTTTCCCCAACATACTGTAATCTGCAGTAATTGCAGGTTAATAAATATACTATATTTTGCGTATTACAATTAAGATTTTGATCTGTAGAAATATGGCAGCATCTACCAGCAACCGAGCTACCAAATGTGTGGGTTTCATTGTAATCAGTACATAATTTACACTGTCTATAGTTACAAGCACCAAAAGACAGACTACAAAATTCACAATTAATATTCGAATCAATTAAATTATTAGGTAGGTTACCCGTATGGGTAAAATTTGATGTCACATAAGTCGAAATTCCTCCCCCCGCAGCCAATTCAGTGTTCAGACCTATATGTTAAGTTTCGTCAAAATCGGATAAAAATTGTGACCTGTATGTAGAGTGTCCAGACCTATATTTTAAGTTTTGTCAAAATCGGAAAAAAATTGTGACCTGTAGAGTGTCCACAAACAAATTGTGGACAAGGGCAACGGCATAATATGTCCACATGAAAATGTGGGCGTATAAAAACACCAGAGATTATAGTGACATTATTCATTGCCAATTATTGATAACTGTTATGGGTAATTGTCAATTTGACAATTACCCATAACAGTTATCAATTGACAATGAATAATGACCCGATATGCTCATTACCATCGCTTTAGGAATAGTTCCAACTGCAAAGATTCATTATTTATTACTTGCAAGAGTTTTTTTTTTTTAATAGTTTGATGAAACAGAAAACCTGCATAAAACTTGCCAAGTTTGATAGATGATCATTTTCCTTACTTGCGAGCACTGTCTTTTAGTAGTTCAATGACACAGAAAACCTGAAAAAGACTTGCCAGGTTCAATATGTGATCATATTCTTTTATAGATGCACATACAATATATCAATGACTTCCTTTCATGTCAAATGTATCAAGTCAATTCAAGTCCATTCAATAGACTGTTTTGTCTCATGACCATTAACTTTAAAGTCAATCAGATCACACAAGATTTTTCAAAGTGATCACAGGCCATGACTTGGGCACTCATATAGGAAATTGCTGAAAATCAAAAGGCTTCTCCACAGGGGCGGATCGGGCCATCGGGCGATCACCCATACAAAAAGAGAAAAACATAAGTTTTGTCCAATTCGTCTAAAAACCTTTTTCTGCTGAACATTATATGGTGGGGGGGTATTGGACCGGCCATGGAGCGATGATGATCATGTTGTATGTGGCCGGTGAATTTAACGGGTCGCCACGTCATCAATGGAATCTGAAATTGGCTTGTATAATAGACTTTCTGGGCCGGGTGTGCTGGGTGTGGGCCGGAATTTGGAATCCTGCAATTGGGATTCCGAATTCCATCCAAAAATTTCATCGGATTCACCTGATTCTGTCGCCCGCAAATTCACTAATTATTAAGTCACCTGCACCCTTTTTGTGGAGATACGCCAGAAACTTCTGCCGATGGTTCGTAACTCCAAAAATAATTCAATGAAAATATTCCTACTTATTCAATATTCCTAACTGGTTAATCAAATGGTCAAAATTTTCTCAACTAGTCCCATTTTTTAACCAGTTAAATTCTCTTGACGATACAACGATAATACGTTAATTAATAATATGACGATATGATAATTTCACAGGTTGATGGTTGTAAATTACTTGCAGGTTGGGGTTTTGGCCTAAATTAATCGATTTATGAGATATATTATTTGACAGAGATTATAATCAGATATGCCACCAAATCAAATATTTGCTTCTTCATTTCATGACCATAACACCTGTGGAATAAATTAATGTCAATTGGATGATAACTTTCGTCTCTAGAGCGTCCACAAGATTTTGCAAAGTTATCCAGGCCATAACTCTGGCAGCCAATATCGGAAATCTATAGGTTTCTTTGTTTTATGACCATAAACGCTATGTATAAATTTGAAGTTAATTGGATATTAACTTTGGCCTCTAGAGCATCCACAAGCCATTGTGAAAGCTGGACTGATGAACGGAGCAAAAGATGATGGATGACGACAATATACAACCATATTTCAATGTGGGCGTATAAAAACTGTGTAAATCTTACTTGATTAGATCCCCATCTAAAGCTATTATTCTTTTTATCAGTTTATGATCTGGATCTGTTGGAGATCTGAAAGTAAACCAGCGGTAGCCATGCAAGATACGCCCACATTTTGCAAGAGATGGACAGAGAACAAGCTAAAAAATAAAGTGATTTTAAGTAAAATCAGGGGCCATAAATCTAGAAGTTACAATCCAATACGCGAAAGTATCGAAAAGAACTCAGATATCTGGGAAGTAAGCATATATTTTAAGTTTCATTGAAATCAGATAAAAGTTGTGACCTCTACAGGGTCCAAAACCTATTTGCGTATGGGATAGGCCATTTTTGCCTGGCTGTTTCGTTCCGGTTTTCACGAAATTCGAACCCAACCGTACTTATGTAGAGTAGTTCATGGCTCAATAATTTGTCCTTATAAAAGTTGACATGCTAACTGTCTGTCTGCACCATCAAGGAGATTTTCTGGAGTGAGCAAAGGTTAATCCTGCGCACATGGAGTTGGAGATCGCTGCAAATATACGTCACAAATAGCTTTTAAACAAACAAGTATTGGTATATACAGCCGAGTAATAATACACCCATTACACGCTTCAATTTTTGTGGTTATTTTACAGCGAACGTGTACAAAAATTTCAATTGCACTTGTTGAATTAATTTTTGATTTTGGCGATTTAAGCACAGAGCTAGCTGTAATAGCTTCGCTTCTTTTCTAACTTTAAAACTCATAAGTGTGGCCAGACTTCGATTGTTGATGAATGAAGTTTTTATGGTAAGTCTTATCATATAATGCTAAAATAAGCCCAAATTATTGTCTATGTGTTGTAAAATTTGTTGAGCTTGGTCCACTCTTACTTATGATGTAATGGTGATATATTTTAACATTTTTTATATGCCCACATTTTCATGTGATCGTATTAGGCCATCCGTCCATCCACAATTTGTTTGTGGACACTCTACAGGTCACAATTTTTATCCTATTTTGACAAAACTTTCAATATTGGCATGTATTGGACCATGGATTATGGCCCCTGATTGTACAAAAAATCCTGTTTTAAGCTTGTGGGCAGGCTAGAGGTCACAATGATCCAATTTTGATGAAACTTGAAATGCATGTTTATAACCCAAAGATCTTGGTTCCTTTCGATAATCATAACTTCCTGAATTATGGCCCCTGATTGTACATAAAATCGCGTTTTTAGCTTGTGGTCCCTCTAGAGATCACAATTATTATCTGATTTAACCAGCGGCTGCCAGGCAGGATACACCCACATTTTGCAAGAGATGGATAGAAAACAAGCTAAAAACAAAAACGACTTTTTGTACAATCATGGGCCATAATCCAGAAAATTATGTTCTGAAATGTGCAAATATCAAAAGGGACTGAGATTTTTGGAATATAAAGATTTGTTTTAAGTTTCATCAAAATTGGTCTAAATTTTGACCTCTAGGCTAGGGTCCATAACCTTTGTATTACATACTTCTACACAATTTGCGTACAAAGAGCGGCCATTTTGTTGGGCAGTTTCATTTCTATTTTCCCGAAATTCCAATTCAACCTTCATTATGGTGGACAGGCCCGTAGATAGCCCAAAATTATTGGGGGGGGGGGGGGGGTGAACGCTTCTGGGGGCGCCGATGGGGCTTCTGGAAGCTCCGATGTACCTACACTTGACGGTCCAGAGCACACACGACCGCAAATACGGTTTCTTGCTATTTCAGTCCCTGAATACAGTAAGTGGTCTGAATAGCCTAACTTAGGTGGCTGAGTCGAATTCCAATCAACCAATTTAACTGCCGCCAACCACCGTGAATACAGCAACTTAAATGTGGTCCAATATAGCCAACCTTAGGTGGCTTACCCGAAACCCAAACAATCAATCGATTGTCACGGGGTATGGGGGCCTTGGGCTCCCGGAGAAAATTTTGTAAATTTAACCGCCACATATGTGTTTTTCTGCTATTTTAATCAATGAGTTAAGCAACTTCAAAGTTTCCAGTCTTTTTGTAACTGAAATCCCACTGTATGCTGACCTCAATTTCAACCATCACAAATAATAAACGATGCCCAAAAAATGTGGCACAAAGTACAGTGGCTCCAGACAAAATGTTATAATCCATAGTCAATTCAGTACAAATTCGCAGTGTTCAATTAAACATACATTATGCAAGAGCTAAATCTGTCTATTGCAGATCTTTCTTTAGGCCTGAAATGTTATCTAAATTATTAATTAGACATTAATTAACCTATCAAGACCATAATCAACACTAGATGGTTATGCTAGCCTGCGATCTTTACTGGATTATTAGCCGATTTACTGCATAACTTTCCTTCTCGATTTAATGATTAAATGGATAATTGAGACTATGCTGTTTATCGTACTGACTTTAGTAATGATGATCGAAGCTAGGCGGAAATTCCGACCGCTTAGTTCTCGGTTCATAGTGGATCAATTTGAATGAAATTTTCAGCAAATTGCCTTTATATTAAAATTATCTAGATTTTAACTATTATAATTATAGTGAGAACTGCCAACTCATTATCGAATCTCCCATAATGTTTCTTTAAAAGAAAAGTAAAATTAGTGTTTTATTAGATTTTGGGCACATTATTTTGCCAACTAGATGAAATAATATTTTTTGTTCTCACTTGTGTAGTGAATATAAGTAAAATAAAATTTTGAAAAATAAAAACGAATCGAAATAGGATCTGTGGTTTTATCCGTCTGCCCGAACATCAGATCGCCTATGGTGCTCTCTCCCCAGAAAACTTTGGAAAATAAGGTTTGCACCTGAAAATGACGGAAAATTCCAATTTTGAGGCTGAACATTATAAAAATTTGAAGGAAGGAATATGACTTTAAAGTACCTATAATAATTTATGAGAAAAATAAAAAGTGTGGAATCGGGTTAGAGTGTGACTTGTTTGAATTTTGAAGATTATCACACGGTTTTGGGTGCCCAATTCATTCGTGGGCGCTTAATCATCTTACTAGCATTGTGGGCGCCCCACCAATTATATTATGGGCGCCTGTGATCTCGTCGTGCGCGGCCCACCAATCTTGGCATTATGGGCGCCCCTCCAGGATGAGGCACCCCACAAATCATGCCGTTTTGGACGCCCCATTGATCAAGTCGTGGGTGCCCAACCAATCTTACTCGGCATTATGCATTACGTGCAGTCTGACAATCATATATTGTCATTATAAGGCACCCCACAAATCATGTCATTATGGGCACCTCTCTGGAATAAGGCACCCCACAGACCAAGCAATTTTGGGTGCCCCATCAGTTGTGGTGTTAATCGTGTGTCATTAAGAGGCGCCTCACCAGTTGGGGGGTGCCTCATATATAACAGGGGGGTTGGATGGCCGAATGGTTAGCACGTGCTTGCTGTATCATAAGGCCTGTCATTGAGTCAACTGACGTGGTTTCTAATCCCCGGTTGTACGTGACAAGGAGTAGGGTTGCCTGCCCAACCTCGTGGGTTTTCTTCGGGTCCTCCAGTTTCCTTCGACTGCTAAAAAGACCCCTACGCGCAAGGGAATTATTGAAATAAAATTGAACCATGTGTTAGTCCCGAAATGACCTAGTTTGTATCGAGTGGACGTTAAACCCCATTTCTTTCTCTCTCTCTATGTCTTTCGTCTGGCTCTGGAATATACTAGTGTATTAAACATAGAATTTTGAGCTATGTTAACTTTAGCTTGCACTGTCCATGCAGTACCAAATTAAAAGCTTGTAAACATGAATATAGCAATCTGATAAAACCACAGATCCTATTTCGATTCGTTTTTACTTTTCAAAATTTTATTTTACTTATATTCACTACACAAGTACTCTTGACAGTTGTTAAATAACCTGCACTCTGGATCATGTGAGACATTAGCCAATCAAATGGTGTGTTGCGTCGAGTTCTTTTTGTGTTGTAGACATTTGCAGCGATAGAAAAGAAAACAAAGCAAAAGTTGTATTTCTGAATAGCCACTTGGAACATAGACGCTGATTGGTTAATAGAATGACAGACGTCATAGGGTTAAAAGTCGCTTGTATGACCCCTGAAGCAACCTCCCATTACAGCCGGTCAGATCTTAATGTAGTGGAGGCCAATGAAAAGTATAACAAGCCAATAGTGAGGATGATGTCCCCCGCCGAAATCCCAAAATAAAACAGATGACACATGTTCATTAAAGCTGAACTCCGATTACAAAAAGAAATAATCAAATAAAAAAAGATAGGTTGCCAGGCAACGAAAAATACGCCCACAGCAACTAAATCGTCCGGGCAGTCAACAAGGGTTGTCGCATATTTTTCCTTTTTTCGGTAATCGGATATTAACTTTAGCCTCTAGAGCATCCACAAGATTTTTTGAAGTGATCAAGGGCCATAACTCTGGCAGTAATTATCGGAAATCGCTGAAAATCAATAGGCTTCTTTGTCTCATGACCTTAAACACTGTGTATAAATTGAAAGTCAATCGGATATTAACTTTGGCCTCTAGAGCATCCACAAGATTTTTCAAAGTGATCAAGGGCCATAACTCTGGCAGCAATTATCGGAAATCGTTGAAAATCAATAGGCTTCTTCTTCTCATGACTTCAAACACTGTGTATAAATTTAAGGTCAATTGGATATTAACTTTGGCCTCTAGAGCGTCCACAAGATTTTTCAAAGTGATCAAGGGCCATAACTCTGGCAGTAATTATTGGAAATCGCTGAAAATCAATAGGCTTCCTCGTCTCAAGACCTTAAACACTGTGTATAAATTTAAAGTCAATCAGATATTAACTTTAGCCTCTAGAGCGTCCACAAGCAATTGTGGACGCCGGCCGGACGGACGGCCGGACGGCCGGGGGCGACGACAATATACGACCACATTTCAATAAGGGCGTATAAAAATTAACACCCTAAATAATCGCCATACTTGTTTTCAAGTTGTAGAAAATCATGGCGATTGTACGGCGTACAAAATCAGAGACAAGCCACGCTCACATCCATTTCATGCTTTGTCAACCACACTGTCCACATCCGGCTAGCAATATTTCAACTACCAATTACCTCCTGACTGATTT